ACATCTCCAATAAAATATACAAAGAGTTGCAATTATTTAGAATTATGTTAATATTTTTATTTTTCACAAACAATATTTTTATTAGAAAATATTTATAATTAAGAAAAAGATCCAGGACATTTCCTTTCTTTCACGAAAGGAAAACCCAAAGGCCAAAACTCTGTTCTCTCTCCCTCTCACCCTTTCGTTTCCCTATAATCCTCCTCTTCCCTCAGACGAAGACCACTATTCTCTAGCCCTGTTTTCTTTATTTAATTTCTACCATTTGTTTCCTTTGCAATACCTTCTAGTCTCTTGGACCGAAGACCAATCTTCTTCATCCTATTCCATAGTCCTCCCTCCCTCTACAACCTCCATTAACTTTCAAACTACTGGATTTGCTCACTACCACAGAAGAGATGATCGATCTATACAACTTGGTTTCCACTTTTCCACATGTCATCATTGTATGTACCATGAAGCTTTAATTGGGTTAAGGTACCGATTAGATTTGAAGAATTGGTTCAGACATGTTTGGAAAGTAAAAGAAGAGATAACCCAGAATTCTTACAATTGTGAACATAATAGAAGCAGTTGCAAAGATCAGTGGACCAATCGATTGGGGACTAAGCTTGAATTGGAATGGCAGATGGGGAATTGGGGATCTAGCAAAGGTTACAGAAAATACGTAAATAGCAAGTCCAAAAGTCACCTTAACCCTTTATCCTTAAAACTAAGGCCCTGTTCATTTACAGGTAAATAAGAAGGGGAAAGTTAGTTAACTTTATAGTGTTCTTTTTGCATTACATACGAAGTCCATGGTAAAGAGAGTTTTATTTATTCGAGTAAAATTTATTCATTTCTTATGTGGATAAGTAACTTTTTCACTCGGGGGAAAAGCTTATAAAACAAATAGGACAAGTTTATCATTTTTAACATTAGTTTTTTTATGGATAAAAATGTCATTATATTACTTATTTAGGAATCAAAAAAACATGGGTAAATGTTATCCAAAGAAACATTTACATGGGCAAGTACACTTGAATAAATAAGAAATTTATAAACGAACATGGGCTATGGAGCTACTTAGCAATATGCATGATCACATTGGGTTTTTATAATTTTATAAGATTATTACAATGGTGTGTTCCTCTTTTATTATTTTTTTTTCCGTTGGATATTTAATGTAAAAATCTGTAAATGTTTATTTAACTTCAACAAGATCTTAGGGAGGTAACTCCATTTAATATAGTACTATAGAATGTATAGATATTGGGTGTAACTTGAGTTGGATGTATTGGGTTTAGAGGACCAAACTAAGCTCACACTGGAATTGGGTTGGATTAATGGGGCTCACGCTACTTGACACCTCAACTAAGCTCACCCAAGTTGTGGTCGAGTCGGAACTTTTAGGCCGAGGCCCAATTAAGAATCCTAATAAGTAAGGTGATGTTTAGTATCAATGATGATTTATTAAAAATCACTGCGATATTGGAGCCACATCAGCGTTAGAGGAATCAGTGGTAAAATTTCTTTTTTTTTAGGCAAGTAAAATTTCTATTTGATTGACCTAATTTGGTGATTTTCAAAAAATCTGCCAAAATTTGATTTATAGCTAATTCTGATTTTTGTGAGGGTGACATGGCATGAATTAGAACTCTAATAGAAAAATAATCAACCCTTGAGAATTAATACCAAACACAAACTCAAAACCGATTTCTCAAAAATAGGGTTACATTGGAAAAAATGATACCAAATAACAAAATTTATCGATTTTTGAAAAAATATTGATTTTAAAAATCACCTATTTTTGAAAAATTGGTAAGTAATAATTAACGTTGATGCTAAAATTGCATGCCTTCATAGATTTGAAACTGTCATGTATGTCTTGTCCAATTTATAAATTTAAAAGACGAGAATGAAACTCACCTCTTCATTAAGGGTGTATCTGGTTTGAAAGAAAAAGGTAAGGAAATCTTTACAAATATGCTTTTCCTTCCTTTCCCTTCATTTTTTTTCAAACCAAATAGAATCTAAGTGTGAGCTAGCTAAACAAAATTGGAATCTTGTCAACCACCTCCCTATCAGTCCAATTGAAGATGAAAACATTGTTGCATGGCTGCAAAGATTAGAAGAGTCTAGCAAGGTGAAAGAGATGGGGAGAAAGTTTGCTAAATTCTGTATAATATGTGGAAACATATATTGAAAAAAAGTAAAAGGAAAAATAACCAAGTTCATCAAGGCTATGTTTGGTTTGAAGGAAAAAGTAGGGAAAGGAAGGGAAATGTAGAGACACCTTTTACAAACCCTGAATAGGTTTTCTTACCTTTCCCTACGTTTTCCTTCAAACCAAACACAACCGAAATGGAAGTCATTTCCATTTAATTCCACCAGAATAAATTTCGATGCTTTGGTTAAGTAGGATAGGAAGACAAAAGAAAAATGAAAAATAAACTTTAGATTCACAGCCTATTTGTATTTACACTGAACACATTTATATGGGAAATTCCCAATTAGTACCCCGTACTTTGAACCTAATGCCAATTTGGTCCCCAAACTTTAAAATGGGACAATTTAGTACCCAAACTTCCAAAACATAACAATCTATTACTTGCTGCTAACCAGCCATTAGGAGGCATTTGAAAAAGACACAAATGCCCTTTGAGTGTCATCTAACTTTCTTTATCAACCATCCAAACATTGACAAAAAATTAACAGTCTCAAATCCTTGTCTTTTCTATTCAAGAAAGTTCGGATCATCAAAATGCCCACTCAAACGTGACCCCAACTTTATTGAATGGAAAAGACAGATATTTGAGACTATTAATTTTTTTTGTCAACATTTAGATGGTTGGTAAAGAAAATTAAATAACACTTGAAGAGAATTTATGTCTTTTTCAAATGCCTCTTAACAACTGATTAATAGCTAATTAACAACAGGTGCTAGATTGTCACATTTTTAAAGTTTGGGTATTGAATTGTCGCATTTTAAAATTTAGAAACCAAAGTGACACTAGGCCCAAAGTATAGGGTACTAATTGGAAATTTCCCTATTTATATTTACACTCTTCTCAAAGGGAGTCTTAGGCTCAATTTAAAAAGAATAAAAATACAAAATATACAATATAAATATATATATATATATATATATAAAATAATAAAAAATATAAGATTTTACATTCTACATATTTATATTTGTACACATTCCAAACTGAGGCTTAGAAGCTTGGGCAGCCAAAGAAGCCATCAAACTCATGCTCCAACTTAGCTACAATTACATTTACATCATCGTTGAAGGACTCCCAGTTCATTGTAGTAACATGTCAAATCCCACATTAAGACATCCAAGTGCTGATTAAGGTAGGAAAAGCATTTAGGTTAAGTATGTCTTTAGGGAATTGAATCATTTTGCCGATTTTATTAAATATGTTGAGGACGAAGGATCGAAGAAATCTTATACATCAATAGAAAAAATAATAATAATAGAATTAAGGATCTTTGGTGCCACAAACCAATTAATGGTGTCTCGGTTGGTGGATTCTCTGGGCTGTTTTGTAGCAGACTTGGTGGCACATTACTCTTGGCTTTATTAGTACTTTGCCTTCCTTTTTGTACAATAAAATGGCGTTTAAATAAAATATACACCGACTCAACTGATGCTACTTGATTTAAAAAAGAAAACTAGTGTTAATTGGAGATAAAATCTATTAAAGGTGAGTTACATGAATTTTGCAGGTGTCCAATCCAATGATTTCCCTTCCCCATACGATGGCATGCATGATGTACCTGGCAGAAAATTTTGAATTCCATATCATAATAGATTGAGGCTCTATTTGAAAAAACCTATTACTGGAGCGGTAAATTGGAGGTTAGCATGGCCTGCGTTAAGACCGTGGTGCGGTTCATATATATGATATATAATTATATATATATATATATATATACATTTATACAATAATAATTATATAATATATACTTTTATTTTAATTATATTATTTTTATTACAATATAATTATTTTAATTTCATTTTACTATTTTGTACATAAACAATTGTATATATCAAACTTCATATAAAATAAACATTTAAGATTTTTTTTTCAATTTTTATATATATTGCTATTATTATTATCTTTTTTAATTCTTATTTAAAAAAATATACTTCTCATGACCTGACCTCACTCATGGCCAAACTTAACCCAAGGCTTGGCCCGCAGCACGGCACAGCCCAGCCCAGCCCGGGCCTGCATAGGCTCGTGCCTTGCGCCATGGCCCGAGAAAATTAAATCCTAAGTATTTGATAAGAATTGTTTTTAAAAATATTATACGGAGTGAAAACACTTTTGACCCCAATGCAAAAACTCAAAATTGGGATTTCATGGGCTTTAAAAGCACAACCTGAATTAAGGTTCATTATTTATCTATCATCTAAATAAAACATTATTAGGATATTATATTATGGTTTCATCAGGCACGGCCAATTAATAAGATTCAGTTCGTTATCTAGGTAAAATTTTGATCAATCAAAATTCATTCATGACCACCACGTTTATGATTCCAATTGATTGATCAGAATTACGATATCATAGTCAAAATTCTTCGGATATCATATTTTTCCATATCATAGTCATACCCTACTTGAATTACGATAAACGTAAAAATTGAGAAATTTTCTACTGGGTCTCGGCTGATCGCATCGCTGCATGTAGCCGGCTACCTTTACCAATTACAGGTGAACACGGCAGAATACCGTACACAAGGGATCCGGGTTCAAATATTGTCCGACTGAAAATTGGTTACAATTAATTCCATTTACTATTCCACACAAACGACAGAAAAAAGAATTTAACAGCCTAGTTGCCACTCTAGATCTCAATTCCACCGCTATCCAAAACAGCCTAATATATTTCCATCGCTGAATCTGAAATACTCAAATACGTATAATTTTCACCGACCACGAGTCACATCAATCCATTAAACAGTTGGTCAATGAAAGGCAGGGCAGCAAGCCAGCAGCAAGCCCCACTTACAGTACCAAACCCAAATTTCTTCCTAGTTCCTACTTCACCTCACGGCACAAGCCTTTTTTATGTGACAAGATTCGAACTCGAAACCCAACTTTCCGCACCTGGAAGCGCGAGACGGAGAGGGAGAGAGGAGAAAAAAAAAAAAAGGAAGGGAAAGTAGAGAAAATGGCGTCATGATTGGGTCTAGGGCTTCACAGACTTTTCCTTTATCGATTTCTCGAACTCAATTTCTGGACTTCTCGTGGTGCATATTTCAAAACCCTAGAAAAGCTCGTGAATCGCTAGTCTGGAACAGCTACGCTCAATCTGTTGTTGAAGGTATTTGATATTTCTTTACTTCTTTCCTTTTTCTTTTTCCTTGCAGTGATTTCAACTGAATTGTGCTGTTACCTATATGTTTCCGACAGTTGAAACCGCGACTTCTTAATTTGTTCCACCGGACTGTTTGAGTCCAGGGTTTTCAGGTTGAATGAACCTAAGTTATCGAAGAGGGATTATCCACACAAACAGCTCGTGAATTTTTGTCCCGATTGGTTGATCGGAGATTTCTGAGAGCTCCAATGCCAGAAGAGGATCTGGTCGAGCTTAAATTTCGTCTGTACGATGGATCGGATATTGGTCCGATTAGATATTCCTCAACCTCTACGGTCGCGATGCTTAAGGAAAGAATCGTTGCCGAGTGGCCAAGAGGTTAGAGATTTTCTTTTGCTTTCCTGAAGTCGTCATCATGTTCTATGTTTTTGGTCTTTCCTTCTTTTTTCCCCCTTCTTCCAGTAGATTTGAATCTATGATGTTTATAGTCTTCATACAAGGAAGTCTTGGGTAATCTTGGAGAAGAAGCTTTTCTATATCTTCCCATTTTTTCTATTCTAGGGGGAACCTTTATTTATTTATTTTGTTTGTTTAACTTGGACCATTTATATTTACTGAATGACGCTACGACGCCGGGATTAAGTTTACATTTAGCTTCTGTTTTTTTTTTTTTTTTTTGCTTAAAAATGGTAGATGTTATGACTTCTGAATCAGTACAAGACTTTATTTCTGGACCTAAAATCAGAAAAAGGATAACTTATTGATTTTTAGCTATCTTTCCTTTTTTTTTGCTCCCTTTTAGTTTGTATAAATTATAAAGTGATTTTTTGGTAGTTTAAACTTTTATTAACGATGTAATAGTGATCTATACAGAAAAAGGAATTATAATATATGATACAAGTTTCAAGCCCTTGGACTGCTTACTGCAGATCCCCCATAAACTCTACGCTAGAAATGCTGTATCCAAGTACATCTCTTCTCTTATATCCCCATACTTTGCCGACAAGTCCCCGAAATTGTTAGCCTATCTTCTAAGCTAGTGATGCTATCATTGATCCAGCCTTTCTTAAGGTATAGCAGTATTTCCATGGACCTGCACTTCCATCTTACAACTACAACAACCTGTGTATCTCTTTCAATTTCAAAACAACCACAGCCAAGATTTATTGCTATTTTTTAGGCCTTGTAGTAAGGAGAGGAGCTCACCTCTCATGGAATCTTGCCCATCCTATTGGATGGAGAATGTATTCAAAATGGCACCTTCATGATCTCCCAGAACTGCTATACCTGATTGTCTTGGGTTGCCCGTTGCCCAAAGAACAACCATCAAAGTTTAGTTTAATGATTTGGGTTTCATATGTTTACATGTTTATGTGTCTATTTGGGCGGAAAAAAACAAGAGATTGTTGAAAATAAATATAACACAGAAGAGAATTTACTGAAAGGCTTTTGGGGTAGGTTGTACTCTTGGGTAAGAACACACAAAATATTCAAGAATAGGCCATATAGTTCTTTTTTTTTTTTTTACTTTAGATCTCTTTTCGAATCTATGCACACAGGATATGTGCCTGCCGTTCTTTGAGTAATACAATACTTTACCTTCTTTCTCAAAAAAATGTTTATGTATTACACACACATATGTATAACATTTTAGAAGTAAATGTGTTCATATGTGCCTGCCATTTTTTCGTAGAATATGTATTTGTTTGCAGAATCACATGCATATTTTTTCATGGGTAACAGATTCTGGCCTTTCAGAATCTTGACTTTTACCAAACAAGTTCTTGTTAGAAATAGGGGGCATTGCTTCTGATGTACTGCTTAACCAATTTACACAAATCAATTCTTTATTTATGGTCTGATGTTATCTTGTTGCATGCTATATATTATTCATCCAATTTATCATGGATAAATTACATGTTTCAAATTGTATGCTTGTTGGCTCTTAAAGTGCCATCAAGAATCAATAATCAATTTAACCTCTATTGTGTTTAGACAGAATATCCATCATGAATGAAGTCCCATATCTTTTTTTTTTTTGTATTTTGTAATTTCTTAATTCTGACTTTTCACAAATGGCCGATAGATTGGTCATGAAGTTGAAGCATTTGCTTCTTCATTTGGTTCACTTTTATCTATGGGTTACAATAAATTGTTTCTGTTTTGTGCAATGACTTTTTTGTTTTTATCATGTTCCCTGTTGCCCTGTTTTCTGAATATTCCTTTAAAACACTTTTGTTCATTGCAGACAAAAAAGTTGTACCCAAGGCAGCAAGTGATGTAAAACTAATAAGTGCTGGAAAAATCTTGGAAAACAACAAGACTGTTGGGCAGTGTAGAGTACCTTTTGGTGAACTTCCTGGAGGGGTTATCACCATGCATGTTGTTGTGCAGCCATCTTTAGCGAAAACAAAAACAGGCAAGTTGTTTTACATTGCATCTTTAGTCCTGAAGTCATTAGCATGTGATAGTAGTCTTATTCAATTGTGGTCCATGTTGTTCCAATGAAAATGGTGTAATAATTCAATTTATAATAAAAGATGAACTTATAGTTTCCTCCTCTAATACATTTGGGTTTCACTTTTGGCAGTCCATTTCTAAGTACAAGTTTCAATCTTTTATAGAAAAAAAAATTAATTGTTTGCACCTTTACATCACCCTTTAGGCTATCCTAGAGAGGAGTTCCTGCTAAACACCAGTCCTTGGAAGTTGGATCTTTATGGTTCTGTCTCTATGCGGTGCAGTATGCCTCTTGCTTTCTTTCAATCTGCAAGAGATCCTTTTAAACTGGTCATCAGTGTCCTTAACACTATAACATGGTTATCTTAAGTCAGATAATTCTTGTTGGGCATTGTTGAATTTATAATTGCCTTTTCTTACAACTTATATTGTAGACAGTTGTCTCCCAGTTAAACATTTGAGCCAACCTTCAATGCTTTTTTCCCAGAAGACAGCCTTGTTAAGTCATGTGGTTTATATGATTCCTGATTTTAGACGTCATGATACAAATCATATCTGCAAGGAAAATATACAGAAGATGCAATGAATAGGGTTGGTGAAAAAACATCTGATAACCTATCAAAGTTAGCAAGGAGCTTATGCTTGTATATTGGATTTTCTTGGCTGAGAACTTTCTATGTTCTTAGTCCTTGTGCACATGCATGTACATTTTTTTATGAGTAATACAAAAATTGTTAATATGCAACATGTGTAGATTTACAAAGAAAATCCCAAAGCCAAGATTTTTACAGTATATTGCTCTCTATGCCCACAACATTTACTAGTTACAGACAAAATCTCTATGTCTAAATTTCTTCAATTCATTTAGAAGAAGAACCTGATCCATCAGAAAGTTAAGTTTATGTCTTTGCAAATATTGTTCACCAGCCTTTCCAATCTGTCAAAAATTCTTCTTGGCCGCATTAAACATAACAAATTGATTATAACTTCCATCTCTCTATTGTTAATATGGTTACTTATGAGAACCTTGTCAAGGGTACAGCAGCCACATAAAGGCATCCACCCTAGGAGGGATTTACTTCATCAAAATATATCTGGCACTCCAAATTCCAAAGGATCTGTTAACCCTGTAGCCAATGTGGCACTAGGAAGAACTGGTAGTAAACCTTTCTTTCAGCTCTTCTTCCTATGCATTTTCATCTCTCTGATCTGGAAAGATCAGAGTATCCATAAGTTTCTGAAGCAGAAACAAAAATCCTGTGATCTCTCTATTTAATGGGGGGTCTACTGCCTTGTATGGGGAAAAATCAGTGTATTTCGTTTGTTTTGGTTGCAAAGCCTGGACATAGGTAATAAAGAAAGTGCATGCATATTTTCTTTTTATATTCCTCTCTTTCTTTCTTTCTTTCTTTCTTTGAGGGGGTTGATCTTGGTTATGAAAAAAAAAAGAGATTTATCTTCTGGCCATGTATATAGTTATTACTTTTTCATTTACAATTGAAGACTCTAACAAAACCCCTTTTAAATTTACAAGCCCCTTCAAAAACAATGCAGTATGAACTTTGGCCCTTGGGTAAGTACATCCTTTATTATTGAAAATGTTTGCTGGAACTTTATTTTATTCATTATTTTAATTATGCTAACATGAAATCTTGAATTCACTTTTTGGAGAGAAAAATGGGAAGGTATTATATTTTTATACTCTTTTTATGTCTTTCCTGAACTCCCGTCCAATCTTGAGTTCTTCATATGTTGTTTTATCTTTTTAGTTCATTGATTTGGAAGAAAATTAGCCTTCTCCACTGAAGTGGCTGTTTATCTCTGTTTTGCAACATCCATACGTGATGTAGGCACTATTTTTCTGGTTCAGGTTCAATGATGGCTCATAAAGTTAGAGCCTCAGTTTTAGTATCCATTGATTTCAATGATCCACCTAACATAGTTTTACAATGGGAGATAAGACTCTAGGATGGCTGGATCGTTCTCGACTCTTAAAGCAACATTTGTTTTCATGTAAAAAGGGTGGAAAACAAAGTTTTGGCCATAAAAGAGTTAGAGATATAATTGAACTTTTACCAAATTGAAAAGCTCTTCATCTATTTTCCATTAAAACAACAGCCCCCAAGGCTTAATGGCAGCTCATATTTCAGTAATTTGGTACCTTTAGCGAGTATACTTAAACACAATGTTTCTAAAGATAAGTATGCCTTTAAGGTTTCTTGTTCTCCCTCTATGGGTGCGAGGGTTGGGATGGGGGAGGAGTAAGGCTATGCTTGGTTAAAATTTTATTGCAAAGAATGACTATTTGAGGAATGAGTTTTAAGCCAAAAACAATTCTTTTCTGAAGCTTATTTTTCAGCACCAAAGAATGAATTCTTAGAATGAGTTTTATGCCTACAAAAATATTTAGTTCAAGCTATTTTCTTATGTTAAACAAAAAATAATTCTTAAAATCACAAAATTCATTAGAATTAATTCTCTAAGGCATTGCCAAACACAGCCTAAGATTTCTATTTCTGGAGGTATCGTGCTTGCATAAGTTGAAATCATTATATGATTGACTTTGTGGATCTGTATGTGCAACTAATTAAAATGAAAAAAAAGGGTGCTGTGAACATCTTAACCATTCTTACAAGATTGGTGGTCTGAAAAGCTGCATAGAAACTCAAAAAATATTCGTGCACTTCGAACGATTTTGTGAAAGTTTTACCTAATCTGGTAGGGAATAACCACTTGCGTTTGGAAAATGACTTTTTGCATTGTAGATATTGTTGCGAGTTCTTGTTGTTCCATTCTAATGGTGTTTGTATGTAATGATGCATGGTGGTGGTGTAATACTCACAACTTTGTATACTGTTCTCAAGTTTGTTATGCTGGTTGTATGAAACAGAAAAAAAGGTTGATGATTCCCCCAGGAAAAGTGTTTGCTCCTGCTCCATATTGTAAGGGCAAAAGAAAATGTGATACGCACTGGCAAAAATTGAGAGGATCGGCATCAGTTACATGTTTCCCAGAACGAATGGAGTGCAAATTGCTGGAGACACATCCATCATACCAAGGATACCAACGCCTACCGTGCTGTGTCTTGTGCTAAAGGTGTTTGTATGTAATGATGCATGGTGGTGGTGTAATACATGTAGTAGCAGTTATAGTTATTTGTTGTTATTGTTGTTGTTGTTGTGTACCTTAAATTTACTCCCTCAAAGGTCGACGCATTTGATTATGTCTGTTGAGGTATTCATTTATACAGACATCTTTCCATCTCTAAATCAGCATGTAAGAGGCTAGAGGTGTGATTGTGTAGCAAAAGTTTGTGGACTTGGCAATTCGTTAATAGAAGTTGGCAGTACAGACAGTTCTGTAATCAAGTTACGGCAGCTGATAAGCCTGATATGTATAACAGTCCAAGTACGAGTTTTATTATTATTATTATTATTATTATTATTATTATTATTATAGTGAAAATCAATTGTTTTGCTTTTGGGTATTTACATTCAGTCTAGGATACGGACAAGCTGTTCATCGCACCTAGGCGTGGAGCAAATGGGTAGGTTTTACCTTGAACGGAATGGAACTGGCCTAATATGATCTTATTCAATTTGTTATAGGGTAGGTTTTGGTTTCACATTCTTGGAATCGACCCCTGCCCAGACTGATTCTAGGGTTTAATGGTTTATTCTATCCAAATCAATCCAATGAATCAGCCTTGATGAAACCAATCTTGGTGGAACTACTGCCTTTGAAACCAAATTTGTCTTGAAATAAACCCTAAAAGACTTTTAAAGATGTGAAGATTTAAACTTAAGTATTCATGGTTACAAAGGTTATGGTTTCACCAAGGTTTTCGAAACATCGTTGACCCGATGGTCGGACCCTTCGGTCTGGGAACTGTTCAAGTAACCGGTTTTGTTTTATTTCAAACCCGGTTTTTGGCTAAAAATCATTGAAAAGTTAACAACCCATTGATTTGGACGGTCGAATCGTCGATTCTTCCAACAGTTTTGATTGTTTTTTATTTTTAATTATTTTTTAATTTGTTTGTCAGAATGGGCTCTGTTTGAATTTCAAACCGGATGATCATACTATCGACCCGGAAACCGGTGGTCAGAATGATTCTGTTTCCGGGTCATTTTTTAAAAAGTTGAGTCTCACTTGACCATTGGGTTAAGTGATTTGATCATTTATTTTCATTTTAATATTTGAATGTGTATAAAAAAACTTAAACTATCCTTATTTCTTAAAGTCCTTCAAGTTTTTTTTACAATTGACATCATCCTTAAGTACTAACGAAAAAATAAAATATCATATTTATTTTCTATTATCCATCAAAATTTCAAAATAAAATCGAATTGATGAAAATTTTCAAGGATGGAATAAACCTATTAAGGGCGGTCATCTTTCCCTTAACTGTCTGCATCCACAATATTGGAGAAATGTCCAGGCGAGCTGGGAGTGCTTCTGTGAAAGCTATCTAGAAATCAGTTCAGAAAGAAAGGACCGACATGCCACGCGCACACGACCTACACCACAACAAATCTAGATTGGCTGATGTAGTGTATCGCATTTTTGGTTTTGCATCTTCTGCGGATGAACACAAGAATCACAATTTCTTATTCTAGGTTTTCGGATCTCGGACGACTGATTGGTTGATGAAGTAATTTCTGGTTTTGAGTATTTTTGGTTCTATCACGATCATACCATCATAATCATATTGGAGTTGTGAAAGAAGAGACTATGAAGCTGCTTTTCTAGTGCATCTGACGACTTCTGTGATTTTTCGTATTTCGCTATGGAGGCCTTTGCAAGGCTGTTGAATCCTTCCAATTTGAACCGCCAACTTGGTCGTTCAATTATCAAAAAATCTGAAATCCCCGCTAAAAGTTCTTTATTGCTTTCAAACCGTTCACAAAACCCTAAAATATCTTTGTCTTCAATCCATTCGTTTTGCCTCTGGTATAAATCATTCTTCGTTTCTCAATCTTCGGTCCCCTTCTGTATTTCGAATTCTCTAGGGTTTCTTCTTTCATTGTCTACATCTCGGATCTTTAACTCTCGGGTTTTGGACAAGCGTTTTGATAGTATCGTCTCTGACTCGAAGGAGAAAATCTTCGAGTGGTGTCAAGCTCCAGTTAATGTTCTGCTTTGCATTAAGCCAACCTAACAAAACCACAGTGAAAACAGGGCAAAATCTCCGCCATTGGGTTAAGCTGCCTGGTTTAATTGGAATGGAGGGTAATATTGTGTTTTAAAAAATTTTTATACGTTATGTGGTGTCACATGTAGATTGTGATAGAATATTAACGGATACTAACGTTAGGGATAGAGTTAGCCAATTGTTAGAAAACTAGAAATACTAAACCCTTACTAAATAATAAGGATTTGTTAGTTAATTAATTAAACCATAAAGTTAGTTTAAGAAATTTGTCCTAAAAAATAATGTATAAGTTAATATTTACAAAATTTAAATTATAATGATAAATTTTGAATATTACATTAATATATCATGATAATCTATGTATTAAATTATTCAATTTCATCAATAAAGATAATCCGAGTTTTAAACTATATATTATGTTTATTGAAAGTCAAATTTTATAGGTTCCATGGGTAGACTTTGGAACCGACTCCAGAACTGATAAAGTCGAACCAACCCTGAAATCGACCTTCACAGAATAGGTTCCAATTCCAAAAACCTAGAACCAATCCCTACATGATAGATTCCAAGTTCTGCCATGATACCAAATCAGATCAACCCATACTCACCCCTAAGCACACTTGTATTCTCATACATGTGGGCCTTTACACGTGTACTGGAATATCTTTCACAGTCTGAAGGCATGTTTTTCGCATAAACGGACAATTTCCAAATGTGTACAAATAACCACATAAGTTGAAAAAACTCATGTGACACAATGGCAACAGGTTTTTATGGTGCTGGAAAGGTATTGCAACCTATAAAGCTGTAGCCGATTTGGATGAACACCACCCACTAGTTGAATGGTAACCACTATATATTGGCTACCTATTTCCACAAGTAAAATAGCATTAATGCCTAATTATAAATATAATAGCATCACAAAATTGGATATATTTATTGACACAAATTTTATGTATAAATCCAAATACAAGAAAAATAAAGACAAATTTAAATAATTTTTATATATTTGAAATAAATAGGGTACAAACTCTTTGTATTTGAATTTTCTTACAAAAGGAGATAGAACATCTGATTTTCTCTTAATGCTGCAATTCTTTCTACTTGAAAATTGAAGCCGAGCATTGGATGGCATGCTCTCATAGTTCAAAGTAAGGGTGTCAATGGACCGGTTTTTGGATTGGACCCCATCTATTCCAAAATCAATTTGGACATATTGGACGGACCAATAAGACATATCAGTCCAAAATATTTATTAGATTGGATTGGACCTGGTCTGTCCATAATAAATTTATATAGATTAGGTTGGATTAAGCCAATATCTGGTCCATTGATATAAGATAAGAATATAGGTGTCAATGGACCAAGTTTGGGTTGAAACCAATCTAAATCAAAACAAATTTGACAGATTGGATGGTCCAGACATTGAATTAGATTGATCCTAAGTGGTCCAAAATATTCATTGGATTGGATTGAACTTGGTCCATTTACAATGGACTCACATTGCATTGGATTGAATTGGACCAAATCTAGTCCAATTGACACCACTAGTTTAGAGAGTGATGGAGATTGTTTCCTTCAATTGGGCTTTTAAGAATGTTATGACTTTGCTCTTAGGAAGATGATATGTATGCCTCTTTCTTCCTCAAGAGCCTTCTTACTTTACTTAGTTTTTCTTCTTTTGGTCCAAAGTCCCCTCCCTCTTGACGAGAACCCTTATTTATAGATTTCTTGGTCTAATTTCTTATTCCCCTTAATTGAGGATTTGATTAGTTCTTTTTACTCTTTTTAGAGAGTGAAGTGTTGTAACTATTGTCATTCTTGGAGAGAATAATTTATTATCTATTATTGTTTCTTCAATCATTGACTAATTTCCATCTATGGGAAGATGTGCCTTGCTTGACTAGATATTTGATTGGCTCTAGTTACTTTTTAAAAAGAATGTTTGACAATTTACTATTTCTAGAAGGAATGATTTTCAATCAATTATTCTATCTTCAATCATTGACTTGAAATGGATTCTAGTTGGATTATTTCCATAAACCATGATTTTTAAAACCAAACCAGTTAGGGGTTTGGTTACCGGTTCGAACAATCCGACCGTTTAACCCAAACGATCAGCCAATTCTAACAAAAGAAAAATAAAAAATTTGAAAAACTGTTAAAACCGTTCAAATGGTTGACCGGCCGGTTCAGTGGTTTGCTGACCAAAATCAACAGTTTTGGGGAAAAACAAAACCGGTCAAGTGACCAATTCCGTTTTTCCCGATCTGATCCAATTTTGAAAACCATGCCATAAACCATTTGGACTTATAATTCAAATTTGAATTTAGATTTGACTTCAAAGTGAATCCCATATGAACCCCTCCATCATGCTAATGGACTCACAAAAATAAAGCCCAAATACATTTGACCCATGTACATATTTAACAATATGGGGCCCAAATAGAAGGACCCAAACTAAGGCACACGGGCAAAATTGAATTTATGGGAATAGGGCCCTTTTGGGGGGCCATGAAAAATTTAATGTCTACAATATTAATTGTTAGAGTTGCATGTATGAAACTGATCTCTATTCCATGTTCACACAGCAAACACCAATGCAAAATCCACTTAAACACCAGTTCTGGGTATTATACTAGAAAACAAGTGCTTGTGACATTCTAGATATTGCTACAGAATAAGATGAGTCGTAGAGGATGACACCATTCTCGATTCTCAAACAAACAATAAAACAAAATTTCCAATCTTCCATCCAAGTTACCTTCTGCTACCAATCCAACCATCTAAGGGTTTACAGTGCCTCTAAATCGAGTCTAGATCTATTCCTAACAGAGTACGCCTCATACCGATTTCACAGTATGTCTTGGCTGTTCATCGGAAACATCTCCTATTTATATTTATTATTCATGAAAAAATGTTCACAATACAGAGTGAGATGTGGCAGTGAGGTCGGTGTGAAGCGCGCTCCATGAGGAGCAATTCCTCTAAATCGATCCAATACCACCCCTGGAACGAGCTACAATTCCGACTTCCAAACCCACCCACCCACTATCTGCCAAAAATCCTTCACATGTCTTTTGTTTCTAGCGACGTGATAAAAAGCTTCTCAACTCGTTGATTGCACTTGTTTCAACATCAAGTAGTCACGGGGCTTATTAACTTAAATAAAATACCCTTTCCCAAGTCCCAACTTTATCATGATGTTTTAAAAAGCTCTTCAGGGTACAGCTACAACTGTAGAGGCTCTTCTGCTCTGGTAGAAGCTTCTCCTCCCTTTCCCCTGTTTTCTTTCCATGGATCCGAGGATTGTCTGTCTTCTTCTTGTATCCGTTTTTGCTCCATCGCTCTCGCTGAATGCTCATCAAGCAAAACCCGCTGCCAGAATCACTGTAATGGGCGTGGTTTTCTGTGACATATGCTCAAACAACACCTTCTCTAGGCACAGCTACTTCTTACCAGGTAATACAAATTCGACCTAAGAAACGGTTTCAAGATAATTTAGATTCATCTCACTGGCCACTGGGTAGGTGGGTTTTGGTAGAGATATGAGTAAGAGGCTTATGGTGTTCACTTGTTTAAATTACCTCAACAGATGTGGACGTTCACATAGATTGTGAGTTCAATGCAAACTCACCCACTGCCTCGGAAAGGTTCTCCTTCTCAGTCAACAGAAAAACAGATAGATTTGGCGTTTATAGGTTGGAAATCCCATCAGTTGATGGATTTGAATGCGCAGATGGACCAGCGATAGAGTCATTTTGCAAAGCAAGCTTGATTGGGAGCTCATCTTCTTCATGCAATGTTCCTGGTTTGAAGACCACGTCTGATGAGATAGCAATCAAGTCAAAGCAAGTCAATCTCTGCGTTTACAGCTTAAGTGCACTGAATTACAGACCACGCAAGAGGAATATTACCTTATGCAGAAATTACAAAGAGGAGTTCTCAAATTCTTTGAATTCCTCCAAGTTCTTTTTGCCCTACTTTCCACCATTTGGTTTTCCTTTACCTCCGTTGCCTCAGTTACCTCCTTTTCCCTCGTTTCCTTTCCCTCACTTGCCACCTTTTCCATCCTGGTCGTTCCCCCCAATACCATTTCTAAACCCACCACCCTCTCTGCCTTTCCCATTCCCACTCTCCCCAACTCCACCTCTGCTTTTTCCATCTCCTCCTCCGCCTGCAATCAACCTGAAGGACCCAAGAACTTGGATACCTTTAATCCCTGCTTCCCCTCCACCACCTGCATTCAACCTTAAAGACCCAAGTACTTGGGTACCTTTAATCCCTGCCTCCCCTCCACCACCTTCGTTCAACCTGAAGGACCCTAGAACCTAGATTCCTCTAGTCCCTACCTCCCCTCCACCACCTGCATTCAACCTAAAGGACCCAAGAACTTGGATACCTCTAGTCCCTGCCTCCCCTCCTCCACCATCTGCATTCAATCTAAAAGACCCTAAAACTTGGTTACCTTCAGTTCCTGCATCACCCCCACCGCATATTTAATAGGAGAGACCCCAGAACTTGAACTTTGGATATACCTTTCACCCCTCCATCTCCTCCTACCTACCATAAAATCTAGCATCCAAAATAGCTTAGCTATTGCTTTTCATATGGTAAGTGACCCTGCGAGCTATACACTACATGTGGTCAAGGAGTTATCATGTAGGTGTTGAATACAGCTTAGAGAGAGAGAGAGAGAGAGTATATTGGTTTTGTTTCAATCGTCTTAGGAGTTAGGAGTAGGAATTGTTGACACAACTTATGAAATTCATGTACATTGTCTTGACTCTTGAGGAAGACACACAACTACAGTTTAAGAGACAATACAGGGGCATCTCCCGTGCTGATTTTTGAAACATATTTTTAACTCATCCTTAATGATTAGAATACCTGCTGGAAAAAGATAAACAAACAAGTACTTGCCTCAGATTTATATAAAAACAGTTGTGCATATAATCTTGCAGAATGCAACCGCCTCATACACTCGCTATCCGTAAAACAAACGATAGAATGATACAGAAAAGGTTACAACTAAGCTACAGAAGAAATAACTCAATTTCTACCAAAAAAAGACAAAGAAACAGCTCTCAGTTAAAGAGGGCAAAGTGCGGAGTTAAATGTCTAAATCCGCTGGAAGACCTTCTCAGCTGCAGCTACAGTCCGTTGAATATCATCAGAGGTATGAGCCAAGCTTGTAAATCCAGCCTCAAACTGTGATGGAGCAAAGTACACGCCTTCCTCCAACATTCCCCTATAAAACCTAGCAAACTTTGCCGTGTCGCTCTTCTTTGCATCCCCAAAACTGTAGATCGGCCCTTCTGTGAAGAAGAAACCAAACATCCCACTAATATGTCCACCGCATAACTCATGCCCAGCTCTCTTACCAGCATCTAAAATTCCCTGAATGAGCTCTCCTGTGATCTTATCCAAGTATTCATAACTTCCAGGTTCCTTCAACCGCTCAAGTGTGTGGATGCCAGCTGTCATTGCCAATGGATTCCCACTCAAGGTCCCTGCTTGGTACATGGGCCCTGATGGCGCCACAATTTCCATAATCTCCCTTCTCCCTCCATAAGCACCGACAGGCAGGCCGCCTCCAATAATCTTCCCAAGTGTTGTTAGATCAGGAGTTATGCCAAAATACTCCTGAGCTCCACCATAAGCCAAACGGAATCCAGTCATTACCTCATCGAATATTAGGAGAGCACCATTTTCTTTTGTTATCTGTCTAAGGGCATTTAAGAAATCAGGCTTGGGAGTAATGAAGCCAGAATTTCCAACTACTGGTTCAAGGATAACAGCAGCAATTTCTCCTTTGTGGGTCTCAAAAAGCTTTTCCACTGTTACGACGTCATTATAAGGAGATGTAAGGGTATCAATGGTAGCAGCTTTTGGGACCCCAGGGGAGTCAGGGAGCCCAAGGGTTGCGACTCCACTGCCAGCTTTGACAAGGAATGGGTCAGCATGGCCATGGTAGCAACCCTCGAATTTTATCACCTTCGGCCTCCCAGTGAAGGCACGGGCTAGGCGGAGCACACCCATGCAGGCTTCTGTGCCTGAGTTTACAAACCGCACCATCTCAATGCTAGGAACAGCTGATATCACCATTTCTGCCAGCACATTCTCTAGAATACATGGAGCACCGAAGCTTGTTCCTTTCTTCATTGTCTCAGCCAAGGCTGCAAGCACCTGGATGTAAACAAATAATCCAGTAAGATTCAAATATTTAACACTACAATTAAAATGATCATTATTACATATCGCATATGGTAATAATGAGTTCACATCTGCACCCCACATGCACATCAAAGCATGCATTGGGAACATCTCCCGTACTTGTTATTCAGAGATGTTCCCAATACACAGTTGGGATGTGCTGTGGGGCTCCTGTGGGGCACACCTTGTGGGGTGCCAATGTCAACTTGGTAATAACTGCCCACCAAGAGGATATCATTAGATGATGTTGGTATACAAGGGCCCAGGGGTTCACCATTCAATTGATCTCAACTTGGTAATAACTGCCCACCAAGAGGATATCATTAGGTGATGTTGGCATACAAGGGCCCAGGGGTTCACCATTCAATTGATCTCACCTGAGAGGTTTCTAGGTCATGGGTGATTAACCCAACTATGTTTTCCATCTGATCCATTTTAGATTTGAACACTTAAAAGATTCCAGCAAGCACTCTGAATAAGCCCACACAATCAGATATGGTCATGACAATTCATATGAACTTGATTTTAATTTTGATACCGTGGGAAAAAGGCCAGAGCTGTAGCTTTCAATGTGAAAGTCTGTTAAGATGGATTTGTAGACATTCTAACTCCATAGCAGACAATTTAGCAAGAGTGGGGAGACGCAAGTTATTTTGGGGAACTGTGCTTCTAGGCTAATGATTGTACTTTCAAGGCTGGTTCTGGTTCCTCTCCTCTCCTCAGGAAACTGGACAATTGTACTTCATTCTCAGCTTTATCAAGTAAAAAAGTTCTTTTGATTTGGTTATTGATAAAAAATGATCGTGCAACACCTCAAAAGAGCATCCAAGGGAATAACAATAGCAACATATGAAATTTCGAATCAAACAACCACCACTAGATAATACGAGGTATATTCTTTTTATAAAACCAGTTGGTCTTATTCATCAACTAACTTGTTTAAGAGGAAAATATATCAAAAAGAGCAAACCCCATGAATCTTTTATTACATTGATATATTGTAGAATTGAATAACATAATCTAATCAGAAATCAGTTGAAATGCCTTGGAAATATAAGAATCTAAAGCATTCTATGTGCAAGACCTATGGTTTTATGTCCCAGGCATGTCTAGGTAGTTAGCCTTTGAAAACTGCCCAACCACCTGAATAGGTGTGGCCAGGCAACCAAACAGTGGCTAGGAATACTTTAGGGAAGATACAAGTACATAAATTCTAAATATTGAAGAATTACAAATTGTATCTGTATCCAGCAAAGGGCTGGTGCCTACCAAATTTTCAAAAGGCTGGACTAAAGACTGCCTATCTTCAGGTAAGAAAATATAGTTAGTAAAATGCAAAAAAGAGAATGCCTACAGATTAGTTTCCTGACATAACCTTCATAGAAAATATTCTTCCATGTGCATTCATGTTAGATATGAGGTTAGAAAATGATGAGAAAGTAAGAAAGAATATCACCTCGTCATCTGCATGACCTATGATTGCTGGACCCCATGAACCAACATAGTCAATGTACTCGTTACCGTCAACGTCCCACATGTGAGAACCCTTCACAGAATCGATCACAATGGGTTGTCCACCAACTGATTTGAAAGCACGGACAGGAGAATTTACACCTCCAGGCATCAAATCCTACCACAAAATCTTACAATCATGTTAGCAAATTAATATTCAAAAGTTAAGCACAAATAGAACATTTACTTTGCATTTCAACTTTCAAACACTGTTGTCTGACTCAGATTGGACGGTTGGACTATTTGAAGTGGGAATCAGCAGCTGAAACAGTTTTTTGGTTGCCTGGTTCTTAGAAATGTTGATAGACATACTCCAAATACATGTGTTGAAGTGTTGAAACCTCTAACGTTTACTGGCTATGCTTATTCTGATATAAATAGCTTTAAAAGATAATCTGAAACCAGTTTACATTTTTTCTAACATTTTTTTTTACTTTTTTTACATTTTTATTTGAGCAAGCTAAATGGTTGACCACACTGTTGGAAGTGATGAAACAGTTCTATGTCCAGTCCAAGTATAACAACGTTACTTTCAAGAGACAAAAAAGAAGAAATGTTATCCTCTTAAGAAATACATGTCCATACACATGATGCTGGAATTGAAATACAATTTCCATAACACTTGAACATCTAAGCAGCTATCATACTTTTACTGTGGGCCTGCTTAACTTCAAAAAATAGAATGGAAGGGTTTGCATATTCAGCCTTTTTCCAAAAACAACCTGTTTTAAAGATTACCATTCAATACCAAAGAAAAGCCAGAGGTATCCAAATTCATGTTGAACAATGTTGTCCTTATAAAAATGGTGAGGTTGTAACATGGACAAATGAGCTTAAGGAAATGGCTAAAGGATTAAAAAGAAAATAAGAAGGGGGAAAAGCACAAGGATGACCCCAACCATATGACTATTACCTCATCAAATGAGTGATATAGTTGCAATTGAGAGTGCCAAGCAGTTTCTAAGAAAAGATAATGTGATGCTGATCAGCTGATGTAAACATGGTAAAATGAGCTTCCACAAAAGGCTCAGGACTAGGAAAAAATATGAATACAGGAAAAGGGTAAGAATTTCGATTTGATGATCCCAATTCCCAACCATATAACTATTGGCTTGCCAACTGAATGCTCTACTTGAGTCTGTCATGACCATATTGTCTCAGGGAACGCTTCAGTTGGATCTCCTACCATTTTACATCTATATTGTTCTGAATAATCAGAAAAATTTGCCAGATATCGAGCTCTGATAAAGGATACCCGGAATACTTTTGGCATTTAGAATGGTCAGTCACAAATCTAATTCAATCAATAATTCCATCTTTTTCAGAATCCAAAATTTTCACGTAACACATCAAGACCCAATTTTCATTTCTTGAAGAAAGATACTTCAGGAACATATCAAAACTTTCCACTAAGGCATCTTAGTTTCGAATGACATCACCGCCAAAATAAACTTTATTACTTGAAATTCCTATCTAATTGTCTAAAATAAAAAGATAGAGGAAAACCTAAATTATCAAAAACTGAAAATAGAAAGCAATCCGAATATAAAATTTTCTATAAAATTATCTTCCTACTTCGAAAAATCTATTAAGTCCAACTACCAAATATTTCACTGTCGAAGCATCGATCACAAAAAGAGAAAATAAGACCTAAATTTTCCCATAGTTTATTGAAAAAAAAAATCGACGCAGAGCTGAAAACATAGACCAGCACACGCACAATGGAATTGAACTCTAACAAACCGATCTCCTCAGTTCCACAGAAACAACCACCACAAATCAAAGAGCATTTAATTTTCTTAAAAGAAAAAAAAAAAAACAAGAGATGGGCAGGTCGTTTTTCGTACCTTGGCGGCAGTAAAGATTTCTTCAGACTTCTGAAGCGTGAAAGTCTTCTTCTCAACCGAAAGTGCCACTTTAATTTGAGAAGAGGCGCGACGAGGCGAAGATCGAGGTGGGTTCAAAGAGGGTCTCTGAGAGACCTTTGACCGCCATGAGAGACCAATCCCCGGTATCGCGGCCATCTTCTTCTCCCTTTTCTATTTTTCTTCTGTTCTTCTATCGCTCGCTCAGTCGCTTGCTCTTTTCTCTTTTCCTCCCTCTCGAGTGACGAGTGAGAACTGAGAAGAGATGAAGATAAGAGTTTTTTATTGCAGCGGCCAGCAGAGGGAGTGAAATCCAGAGCTATCTTTGTTTTGCATGGACTTTTCTGCACATCAGAGCCCCGTACCTGAGCCTTAGCAAAATACGGATAAATACTTAGACCCACCTTGAGTTTTTTATGAATGCAGAAATACACCCTCATTCTTTTAGCAACCTAGAAACAACCCTAGTAAGAAATATATTTAGGGACCGTTCTCGCTAGGTAAGTTGTGAGGCCGTGTGTTTGGTGAAAAACACGCAAAGCCAAAAATATACCAGCCAATAATTTGGTGGGTGTTTAGGATTGGAGTGTTTTAGGGTGTTCTGTTTCATAAGTTATAGATCATTAGAGATTAGATTTAATAGGGTTTGATTGATAATTACATTAAAAATATATTTGTATGCATGTCTTGAGAAATAGTTTTTTTTTTCATTAAAATTAGTTTTTAATTTGTCCGAAAATTATAAAACTTGTTTTGAGTTTTTAAATAAGAAATTATTTATACTTTAAAAATAAGGGAAAATTCTCGTACTTTATGTTGAGTACCAATTTAATATTGGAACTTTAAAACGCAACAATCTAGTACTTGAACTTTCATTTTGCGACAATCTAGTACCTACAGTTAATGGACCATCAGTTATCTATATCACGTGACCTCACGTGCGACTTAAGACTTTTAAAATTGTCAAAATTACCCTTGGACACTGTTCATCATCTTCTTTCTCAACAAAATAAAAGAAAGGTAAACAACTGCTTCAAGTTCTAGCAGACCTCCCAGCACCGAACAATAAGACGAAGATGACGACGACAATGATGATGAGGAAAACCTAACCGTGTGCGTTGGCCAGAGCAAGTCGAAGGAGATGATGTTGCGTTTGAAGCCGGGAAATCTTCTCCACCGTGCCATACCAGTGACGTCGAGATTGGCGAACATATTTTCGACTTCATGTTCATTGCGCAGGACGATTTGACGTCATCGTTGCTCTGGTCTGTGATGCTCTTGGACTCGCATCAGGATACTCGCAAAGGCCTGAGCAGAGGCATAGAACGACACCCTGAACCACCTGGTGCTATGTTCCCATCCATTAGCAAGATACCTGCCCCAGATTGAAAAGGTTTGGAGGGGAAGAACTAGTCCTTCTAATTGCATAAGAGCCATTATAGGACTTCAAAAGGTTTGGCAAGATACCTGCCCCAGATTGAAAAGTTCTGCAATTGATTTCCCTGAACCCTCTAGACGGAGAAGAAACGAATCTATTAGGGCGAGTAGGCTTGCTTCTGTTGTAATATTGATTCCGATGTTGAGCCACAACAAGCGTCTCCATATCGAAGTATAACAAATGTCAGCCAGCTAGATTAGGTTTTCTTTCACAAGCTAGGTCACCTTTCGTGCACTTAACTTCTAATAGCTTTGTAACAAATATCGTTTATTACTAGATAGATGGTAGGGCGAGATGATAGTGATGGAGGGTGATTTGGCCTGACCTAGCGAAAAGGGGACACGTGGACACGACCTGACTAAGAGATGACAGCTCAGCCTGGCAAACCTAGTTCGCAACAATTGAGCTCGGGTATTCAATCACCTTGGCACAGGGTCACCTCAGCGTAGAGTCACCTCGGCATCGAGGCACCTCGGCATCCAATCCAGTTTGGAACTAAAAGATTGAAGTATCAACTCGAGGCTACCGACCCGGACTGCCACATAACGACTCCGGTAGACTCCGAACCTCATGGGATCACGTTGCGTAACGGTAGGTCTAATCTTCTCCCCGCCCGGATCGGGCGGAATTGATAAATTTTATTAATTGATACGTTACTCCCCAATTAAAGCGGAAACGGATCCCCTCAGGACGAAGATCCTAGAACCGATTCCGCAAAACCACGAGGGCTTAACTATATAAAGGTACCAACCCCAATGACACAAGGTACGTGTGATTTTTCTACTCTCTAGCTCTCTAGCTCTCCAACTCTCAAAGCTTTCAGCTTGCACCACAGTTTACTAACTTAAACATCGGAGCGACCTCATCGGATTAGCCACCCTCGGTTCTCTGATTCATTGTAGCGAGGAGAAATCCTAATGGCCATCAAGGACTCCTCCTTTGTCAAGTGGCCTCCTAGGTTGAGGGGAGATCCTGCAACAAGAAACCGAAATGTCTATTGTCATTTCCATAGAGACCATGGACACAACATGAAAAACTACAGGAACCTCTGCGACGAGATCGAGGAGCTCATCCGCTGTGGGTACTTAAAAAATTTTGTACAGCGATAAGAAAGAAGCCAGACAAATCGACAAGTAGACCGACAGGGGGACCAGAGAAGGAATGCCCCCGAGACCAGCAATAGGCAGAACGAGCAGCCGCCACAACAGTTTCCCGAGGAGAGACCGATCCGCGAGGTAATCCATATGATTACTAGTGGGTCCATCATCGCAGGGTGTACATCGGCAGTTGGGCAAACCTCAGTCCGTGAATTAGAAAACGAAGAGGAGAACCCGCCAAAGCGACCTTGACTTGAAGAACCAATTTGTTTCACAGATGACGATGCGTGCGGGATCCAGTATCCTCACGACGACACTCTGGTGATAAAATTGAGGCTCAACGACTTTGAAGTCAAGCGCATCCTGGTGGACTCGAGTAGCTCGGCAGACATACTGTTCAAGGTCACATTCGACAAGCTGCAACTCCAAAAAATCGACTTAAAGCCGACAGACACTCCACTGGTAGGCTTTAGTGGCGAAGAGATCAGATCTCTCGGGCGAGTCTCAGTACTTGTAGAGGTCGGCACGTGGTCGAATATCACGAGGTTCGAGCACACATTTCTGGTGGTCGCGACTCCCTTTCCTTATAATGCCATAGTAGATCGACCCATTATGCACATCCTACATGCGGTAGTATCCACCTACTATTTGGCAATGAAGTTCCCAACGGACTATGGAGTAGGAGTTGTGCGAGGTGACCAACTCGAATCTCACAAGTGCTACATAGCCACCCTCAAGGGGAAAACAAAGCTAGCGGCTGACATTGAGCTCGAACGACCAATAGAGGAGATGGTCCACATCCTGGTTTCAACCAATGACCCAACCAAGACTCTCCAGATTGGCGCTTCGATCGATGAGCCACTTCGCTCTCAGCTGGTAAGCTTCTTACTAAAAAATTTAGATATATTTTCCTGGTCCGCGACAGAGATTCCTAGAATAGATTCCAAGATTCTAACTCATAAATTAAATATTGATCCCTTAGTCAGGCCAGTTAGACAGAAAAAGCGCAACCTCGCCCCAGAACGCTGGTGTGTAGTCAATGAAGAGGTCGGGAAGCTCCTAGCGACATACTTCATCAGGGAAGTCCATTAGCCGAGCTGGGTAGTTAACCTAGCTCTAGTAAAAAAGGCCAACGGCAAGTGGCGCGTGTGCGTCGATTACACCAACCTGAATAGAGCCTGAAGGGATGAGAGATCCATCATATGGATGGCCAAACCCTGCAGGAAGGTTGGGCGAAATTTCAAAAATTTCTCTCTCTCCCACGTGGGAATCACATTCCCTATTTTAGAAAACTGCATTTTCAAGGATCAATCTTGAACATAAACCAGACCAGATTTGAAACCAAAAGGGGAGTGGATGGTTATACCTAATACGAAGTAACAATAACCTCCAATGAAGGTGTTCATACCCAAGGAGAGATTCAAAGACTGCTTCCACCGAAGATGACACGGTGCAGGATGAAGCAGAATCAGCAGGGTGGCTTTTCAGCAAGAATCTGATGGAGGGCTAGTGAGCACGACTCTTGATTACCTTTTCTGCCAAAAGGTAATATCAAGAACACTTCTTGACCACTCCCACAGGTGGAGATCGAACTGGTATGGCGGCAAGAACAGGAGAGAGAAAGAGCAAAAGACATAAGCAGTCAAACTGTATGCTGTCATCGCTCTTAAATCAATAGACTGATGGATCAACTAGAAGTTCACCCTACTCCTCTATTTATAGCTTTAAAGAGAGGTTCTCCTAATCCCATTAGGAGTTTCCTAATCCAAATCTTGTATTTGGATTTGGTAGATAAAGATCAACCCTCCTAATCTAATTAGGAGTTTCTTGATCCAAATCTCTATTTAGATCTGGACTCTCTAAGTGGATAGGGACAATCCCTTATCCTATCTGCTGATCTAAATCCCAGAACCGCCCCTCTTTAATTAATCTTATTAAGTCAGTTCGAATTGAACTTTAGGCCCATTAAGTCTATGTGCTCACTTATCCTCTAAACTACTACCCAATTGGTCATCCTTGTATTGTGTGGGACCCAAACATTGATCTACACATCAGCCATATGGGTTCAACCCAACCTCTATTACAAGGCCTGGCAAAATTCACTGTAGGAGACAGTGAACCCCTGAGTCCATCACCATGGGCTCTTAATGGGCCCAACATTTGCACTAAATGGTCCTTGGGTCAAGCCACCTTATAAAAACCCAAAGACTGTGGGCAGATGCAAGGTTAGCCCATTAGGTATTACCCTCAATGGTCTTACACTTAACCTCTCAGCCCATAATGATCAAGCACTACCCGACAAGAGAGGACCTCTCCCTCGGCTGCAAGGTACAGTGTTGCACTTTCTACATACATGGATCCCAGGAATTAAAACATTTTGCAAACATTTTGAAACCATAATATATATATATATATATGTATGTATGTATGTATGTATGTATGTATGTATGTATGTATGTATGTATGTATGTATGTATGTATGTATGTATGTATGTATGTATGTATGTATAT